ATATTGCATTCATGCGCTTTTACGATTTTTACGTGACTCCCGTCGCCAATTTGTGCACAGAATAAGCAATAATATAAGTTTAGCCATGAATCTGAAAGACTTTTTCCTTTCATTTCTCTTCTTTTATTTTTTCCGATTACCTGGTTTTGTTCATAAAAGTACATAACAACTAAACTACTTGAATTGTTTCTTCCATGCTTTATGACATATTCGTTAATAACGATTTTAAAATTCTACACTTATGTTTATTGAAATCATATTTTATTAATGGAATAGAATCTTTATCTACCATACTAATTCTTTGTCCACCATATATATATATTATCCTCAGAATGTAAGAAGTGGATATTTTATTGTTCTTAAATCGTATAAAATATCTTTAATCTCGAATTATACAGTGTGACGACTGAGAGAGAGGAGAACTTAAAAGAATATCTACCAATCACATTTTATTCAATCAAGGAACAATAATATACTATATTTAACAAAACCAATATTCAAGATTCGTTAACGTTCCCGCAGATTTCTTATTGGTCCATTATACTAAGAATGTCGTTTTCGCTGAATTTGAACTTCATTAATTTCTTACAGGAAAAAAATCGGTGCGAGTCTGAACTTTGCGTACCTATCCATAAATGCCCACCGCCACCATTGATTTTCATTCCAATCGCCTCGTCGTCGCCAATATTGGTAACAAGTTTTGCGAGTGAAGCATAAATATATGTGTGTTTTGCACAACATTTTTTCTTAGCTTGTTACAGTCCGTAATAGAAGTAACCTTCCTAGAGAAAATTCGAGTAAATTCCACAAAGAAACGAAAACACGTTCGTAAATAAGTAGGTATTCAATAAATGAACACACGTTTTATGTCAAAGGATTTTTGTCAGGTTCTGCTTGAAGAACATGAAAACCAAAAATATTTGATTGGTGTGTCTATACCTAATTGTTCTTTTATATTTATTATGCTTTGCATAGTAAATTCTGTGCCATTATATACCTTACATGAATATGTATATAAATATATACGTATGTAATATAATTTATTATTATTATGCTGATATGAAACATCGCAATTCAGCCGCATGTTCTCGTGAGAATTTTCAAAAATCTTTTCTTAACAAATACTTATAATAAAAGAGAAACATTCCTGGAAAATAGCAAGTTCAAAGGATTTTTATTTTCTCAGATTTTCTGATTAGTGTGTGAGTGGAATTCGCTTTTATATGGGGTTCACAACATTCCCAAATAAATATCAAACGTTGAAGTTATAATTCAAATAAAATGTTATATTCCTGACTAATTACTTTACGTTATATCTCCTTTAAATATATTTGTGTTTCATTATTCTAACTTCAAAAACGTTATATGTTTTCTGCAGTATTTATACTTAATAAGTTTCTGAACTTAATCACTTCCATTCAAAGACTTCTTAGTACAAATGGTAAGAAGCTCGTTTGCTCAAATAGAAGTAGAAAACGAGAATTTCTCTGCGGAGCTGCTACTACGCAAAATCCGACTAAATCAGGGAAATAGGAAAGTTGTTTTACTGTTACATTGTTTTACACAATAATTATTTAGTATGTATGATACAATTGCAACACAAAATTTAAATTGGACGGGGTGCTCACAACACTAAGATCAGGGACAACATCGATGTAATAGAGGGGAGCACCCTTCTTATAGTGCGCCGATTTGATTTTACCCTACAACTACTTTAAAATTGACCGTGATTTTAACGTTATATATGTAGTATATGTACATATTAATTTAACACTAATTTACCCGACTACTAGAGAAAGAAGGATATAGATCCTATGTAGGATTGTGTCGTTTGTATTTAAGAAGCAAAAGTGCAAAATACCATTTCTTCTTTTAATTCTCGAAATATTATAACTTTAAATTATTATAATACATACATAACTTATATGTATGCTATATTCTTTTTTTATCTCCATAAACTCTCCAGTTATTTGAGGTCCTAACCTAACTGTCAAGGATTTCTATATATCTGTTTTGGGTGTTAAAATTTCAAGTAAAGATTGAAGGAATTTAGATTAAATTTTCACATAATGTGTTATTATATACAGATCAACATATAGCCTAAAGAAAACTGAAAAGAAACATGCACCTTATTCTAATTTATTAGAGATAATTTTCAATCTTTCTTTACACCACCTTTAATATTATTAATTAACTAATGGCGCCCGTGACTTCGAACGCGTGTATATTGTATCTATTAATGGTTATGAAATGACAACAGGAAATAAAACCTCTATACGACTCTACATAATCAACGTTATTTTACTGACTCGACCCTATTGGTCGACCTCTGAGCATTTTCCAGAAATATGTATATACACGCATGAAATCGCGGGCACAACTAATAAATAACGTTTTTATTTACTATTATATTTGAATTAATAACAAAAAGATAGATCCCTACTTATTTATGCACACCACAAAAGCTGTGAGTTCATAAAACTAACATTTTCTAAACCTAAGATAACAAATATAAAAATAATGTTTACTGTAATCCTATATACGGAGAAAAGAAAAACAAAAGCAGCTAAAACCCAGAACTGTAGCCACTTCTACAACAGTCAAATAGCGCCTACCCTAACCAACTTCAACTGCCACGTTCGAGAGCTATAATGTATGGAACAAGTACTCTCCAGCGTATATATGTATATGCCTTACGTTACTATCCACATTACGGCGAAAAGAACCATGCCAAGTGTGGGTGTGACACACGCACTTTTCTGTGTTTCAAGGGAGTGCTTCTTAATTCCGCCGAGGATCTAAATATTGGTAGCATTAGGTACCTATCCACGGTTAAACGCAAATGTCTTGACCTGAATATTGGCGATAGACATATAAATGTAGCTTGACATCTTTCTGTAGTTATTATTAACAGGACGTGCAGTTATGGGCAGGAATAAACGACTTACAGCGGTAATGTAAAAATAGATTCTATTTCATACTACTTTTACTATATAGTACTCAATTCTGGTTAATATTATTAGATTTGGTATGCATACAAAGGTCTCCGGTATGATTGAGTGTAATTACATAAAGACTCAAATATTATGTATGTCTGACTTGGATATCAATTTGAAAGACACTATAGAATATTATTAAAGTAAAAAAATATTTAAGTGTAAATTAATATAACAAACGAATAATGTAAAAATAACAAATAATCATTTGGAAACAATGAAATTTTCGCATATAATATAATTTTTAAATTAAAATTAAATTGTCACTGTCATTGAAGTTGGATATTACGTTGCATGAATATGCTAAACGAACTTCTGTAAAGGAAGATACAGCGTACATTCCTTTGTTGTTTGTTACCGTAAAGCAACAATGTTAAGTACAAAAGTGAAGAGACAGCGGTCAACAATGTACATTGCCTCCGTGTCGTAGGGGGCTATGGGGCACGTCGACGGTAAAGTGAAACATTGTGGTAGCCTGCCAGCCCGCAACACTGTCGTATTACTCATATTGTAATGCAGACGACGTAATTCTATATTCCTTACCATATGGGTCATCTAGAATCATATCTAGTGCCAACAAAGTTTTTGGTAATTCTGTATCGGCACATTTAACATACATACATAACACAATTCTATTCTAATTATTCATCTATTAAAATGTTGCAGATATATGTTTAAGAAAGCTTTTCATATATCAATATTATTTTTTCATATTATATAACGGTTCGTTATAAACACAGAATATACAGGTACTGCAATAATTTAAAATAATAATATATAAATCTATATGAAAAGCTAAAATTTAATATACAGACTTAGTTGTAAAGGATATAAGTACCGTCTTATCCGAATACCGTAATGGATAATAAAGAAGGTAAGGTCAAGTAGGATAAAATTTATAAAACTCAACTGCTTTCAATAAAATGTAAAGCGAAAATCAGAATTTATACGTATTTTAAAATTTGTGTACTAAAAAGATGATAACGCAACCGCACATTAAATACGAAATATTTTGAATGGTTTCCTTTTTTTTTATCTTGATCAGTATCGTTCACTTTGAGTTGAGATCATGTATGTGGTACAACCAACTCCCAACTCAATAGTGAATTGTTAATTTTGATATGTATACTACTTCTTTTTAAATTCGCCGATTTTTTATATGCCTACTTAGCTATATATTTACACACGTTAGGCCACTAATCTACTTTCCGAACCCTTTTCATGTCTGTCCAGAAAATTTCGAATGAATTTACATGCTTGTAGGGACTTGACTTATATTTTCGTTGGTATGTAATGATAGTGTGATTTTACTTTACACATATATTACATTGACACAGATACATTGAATTATTTATAATATAATATTGTTTTCTTACACAATTAAGTGCAAAGGTAGCTTCCAATCTATATACCTCCTACTATGTCCAACCAGAAAATATTTTTATTAGATCCGATCCAATATGTATGATTGGATTCATCCGGCTCCGGGAAATTGATTTATTTCCCAATTGGAATTGTTATGGTCCCCATTCTTCATTAACGCCCTATACCCAATGCCCAATGGAGATCAATGAGCTTAGTCTATAGAAACAGTAACTACTTTTAATAAAATAGTGAAACCTATAGTGATTTTGATCCATATGAAAACCTACCATTTTTATAACCAATGACAAATTAAACTTTTCTAAATAATGTATAGAGTTTTATAAATAATACGCACAGCTTAAGTTTTATATGATATTAAGGAAACAGATGGACGCAAAAAAACTTAATACTACAATATAACAATGATCTATGAGATAATTCGTATATTGTCGTATTATGTTTTCATTATTAATGCGATAAATAAGAAAATTGCGAAAAAGTTTAGATCGCACAGCAAATAAACAATCGCTGCGACAAACAAACAATTTCGCAAAGGTTCGTGAAGTCGCGAAGTCCGAATATAACTAAATATTAACTTACTTGTAAACAATAAATTATAGGATTAAATAAAACACTAACCTTGATGAAAGTCGCGGCGGGCCCCCGGAACGTGGATTTATTTCTTTCATTTTTAATAATATTAGTCAAATGTTCGCATAAAGTTTGTACGTACACATGGCAAGTACGGTAGGTAACGCGCACCCGACACACGACTCGGTCGTGGCCGCGATCGTCACTGAGTGCTGCACCGTGAAGCCATGTAACACAGCTCAGCCTCGGATGGGGTGGCTCATGGCCCTCACGTCCCGCGCCGCGCACCCTCGAGTTTCGTCTACTGACACCCGGTTGCCCCCAGCTTTAAGGCATTATTCTACGCCGGACACTAAGCTTTCTAAAAAGTGAGCGTGATAGCACCTATTTAGTGGCGAGCAGACAATAAATCTCCTCTTTTTTTCTCTTGTGTATGCAAATAGGCGCCAGTTATCCCTTTATGCCATCGTTCATGATTTTTCTATTTTACAGTCACTATAACGTCGTTGTATCGAAAGCCATTATAAATGTACATATTCACACATTATCAGAGACAAAGGTTTAATTTGCATAATTATATAATTCAAGCATGCCTAATATTATGTATCTACTGATATACAACAATATACTAAAATGCTACTATTTAATGCTACATTTCTATGTAAAATATTTTATAAGTTTATTAATAATGTAAAAGTAATGAACTTCCGCATAATATTAATTAATTATATAAATATAAATCCAATTAATTAATATAAATTAATTAATTGGATTAAAAAATATAATTTTATTGCCATAATTTACAATTATCTTAGTTCCAAGTATATTTATCTATTAACTACTGATCTCCGCAACTTCGCCTGCGTTATTTTTCTTTGCAGCTTCGCTTCTATTGGTCGTAATGTTATTTAGCCTTATAGCCTTTCTTAATAAATATGCTAGTTCAAACTAAAATAAAATTCTAAATCGGATGAGTAATACCGGTTCGGATATCGGATGAGTTTACTCCTCACGTCCAATTCTCAAACTCTGAAACCTCTTTATAAAAATTGTATAGATTAGGAATGTAAGTAATATTACACTTTTTAATAAACATTGAAGCAGAACATTTATTTTTTAATATGAACATTACCTGAATTGCAAATTTGAAAAATTAAGTATAATATGAAAAATACTAGTTATTCTTTCCATGCATTATACAACAATGCGTTGACAATCAAAGTAAAATTTTACGAGAACATTCTTTCCGAGAACAGGGTAGGAAATAAACATACTTTTTGTTCCAGCAAGTGAAATATTTCGTGAACATGATAATCAAAATTCCTTCAACGCTACTACTTAAATAAACAAACTGCGTTATTCGATAACTTGTTTTTAAAATCAGATAATAATAGTACCTTGATTTACACAAAGATCGATGTTATAAAATAATTATATTGTTTTCGTACGCCATTTTGAGCTTTTAAGGACCGCCGTTGAGTGTTTATCCAGAGTAAGTGAGTTGCCTCGTAAATGAAGTGGTTTTCAGTTCTCTTAAGTAACTCGAAGTAAGAATTGACAAGAATTCAGTATCTTGACTTAACCCCATTTATTTCTCATGAAACTAATTAAATCACGTACAGAGTTAATTGAATAAGTGTAATTATTTACAAAATTATGCAGATTGTGAGTAACAAATGGCTAGTCAATACTAATGAAACCTCCAAATGTGTATTTATATAATACAATAGTACATTTGCCGTTTATTAATTATTTGAATGCAAACTCGAATATCAATTTATTAATAATTCTATAATAATTGCTCGCAATTACTATCAATTAATTAGATATTTTGAATTATATGTTTCACAATCGTGATTCAGTAGTAATTATTACTCCAACTTAATTTGTGTTTTAATTAATCGCATATCTGGCCGGATTTTGAGGACAGCCGGTCTACATCAGAAACTAATTCAGATCCCATAATATTGTACCTTTTCGCACCCTTTCATACCATTGAATTAAACACTAGCAACGTATTAATTCCATATTTAGTGGTCAGAGAAACCACTAACCAACATTGTTACCGACTTATTCAATTTGATTTCGGTTACGTTTCAAAAGAACAGTACAAGAATAGATTGAATTGAAATCGATATTGAGATTAGATTCAAGAGTACACCTGCTGAAGTGTAGGTATGTACATATATTTAAGTAAATATGTATGTATTTATGATAATTATTTCAAATGACAAATAAGTTGACGACCAAATCAATTTCGAAATCGAATAAGTATAAGTAAGTATAATAGTAAAGTACACAGTAGATATAATAAAAATCTCATGGATTAACCACCCCCACCCTATGTGACACTGGCAATGAAGAATTTGAAACAAAACATTACATCCTGTTCTCGTCCTACAACTAAGAAATCTAAAATTTTCTTCGAACATCGTAAAGTTTCAAAGTTTCAAATCATATTTACATATCTACTTACGTGTAGGGATATATAATAATAGTGAGGTCTCACTTTTGTTGACATAAATGTGGTAGTGCGAAAAACGAAGCGAATGCTAATAAATATTCATTTACTATATCAAATAATTTTCCAACATAATCTATGTAAATAATTGAGGTCAAAGTACATATGTATGTTCTTAACGCAGGCGGTTGCACCATTCGCTAAAAACATATTTATTTCGCACCAATGGAGGATGAAGATGGGAACCAGTCAGTCAGCACCTCATGGTGAATTCATCAGAAATAAACAGTGATGGTTTTCAGTACCCTCAATATAAATCAATTACGCAATATATATCTATATATATAAATATAAATCAATTAAAACGCATTATTTCAAAGCAGATTAAAAAAAGATGTGAATTAGAAAAAAATACTGTATAGACATGCGGAAAATAATACATATATATATACGAAAAAAACAAATTCGCAGATTAATTATATGTCATTCCATAGTCATATAAAATTGTGGAATTTTCGTCTAATTTCTTCATTAGTACAACCGCGTGAAGTCGGAGCGTATAGCTAATTTGTTATAAATATTTAAATCTCTATACAGTCTAAAATGTATGTATAATAACTATTAACGTCATAACTGTCAGAACTCGTATCATTAGTACTTGACAATGTTGAAGCCTTTGTTTCAGTTGAACTGCCGTAACTCTTCACTTTATTAATTAATGTAGTTAGTTTTGGTGAAAAGCCTATCACAGTCAGAAAATTAAACTTATAACCTTTCAGTAAAAAATATTTGTATATTTAATACTAATATTAAAAGAGTATCTACATATAAATGGCTATAAAAATACAATTGTCGTTATAATTTATTGTTTAATCCATGCTAAAAATAATTATAATATTATATATTTAAATAAATTAATATGACAATATATTTTTGCTGTCATATTTTTTTTATCTCTAATTAGTTGTTAATTTTTGGCGCCTATATACATGATATATTTTTACTGCAATGTATTCTATGGAACATCATGTAAAAAGTATATTGATATTACTGAAATCTTAATACAGTAATTGCAATGAAAATATTTATTCTTTTTCTTTTATAAATCATGGAATATATCACAGAAAATACCGTATAACAGCTTATTTTACTATATAACATAATATAAACCAGAAATTCCAGTAGTAGTTGCAATTACGTATGGTAACGCGTGAAACGTCCATTATATACTTAGTCTAGTAACCATGGCAACACAATGTTGAATTAATGCACCGTCAGCTTTTAGTCGTGCCAGTATTTTTAAATGTGCAATTAAATTCAATCATATAAGATTTCTTTAGTAATTATCATCAGCGAAACTCTTGGTACAAAATAAAATATTTAAACAGTAATATTGGAATGTAAACTAAAAACTTACACTCACTTCATTCTTCAGGGTTTATGTAGGTATTAAGGCCGTGATCCGGTAAGCTAGAACAGAGGCCTACGTTTACAAGTAAGGCGATTAGAAACTCATCTTGACGCCGGCTACCCTTTACGATTACTATCGTTGGTAGTAGTTTTGTGTTTATGTTTCAGTCAGACGCCATTAATTTAACCAGTGCAATCACTGATAATACTGTCAAAATGACTTATATATTTATTAAATATTACCTTCAGAACACATAGAATAAAAATAATCCGTTTCTAATGTTTTTTTTTTAAATTAATACATGTACCAAATTTTAGATCGAATATTTTAATTTATTTTCCGTAATTTATTAAAAAGTAAAATTAATGAAATTAGTCAACGCTTTAGAATCTAATATAATATTCATAAAGAGAGCTAAAAAGCTTCTTCCGTACCTGAGTATTCGTGTCAATTTAACTATTTGCTTTATACATACATATTGAAAGTAAACGATATATTTATTACAGCCTGAACACTTTGTTATCGGCGGGAAAGGGGATTGTTTGCACCTAAAGTGGACTGATAATCTTATTGCTAATAATGTACTATGTTAGGTTGACATCCACGCGGTTCCCCCTGGAAACCATCGTCATAAATTCTTGGTGAATTTGTTACGATGGGCGGACTCATTCTCATCTTATCATTCTCCACTGATGCCCCGGTAGCGTAAAGCGTTAGCGCAAACATGCACCATTCATTACCTATCTATCATCCACAAAAATTAATCATTTACACGACGGCCTCGGTGATCTAGCGATTTACCACACCACTTTACTTTCAACAACTATGGGTTCGATTCCTAACACTGTACAAACATTTCTACTCATAATATTACAAACCATCATACGTTTGAAGTAGTCTGGATATTATTATCTATACATAAATTCACACAATGTTTGTATTTTAAAGTATGTTTGTCTTTTGCACTCCATAAGTAATACAAAATTACTTTCATAATTATATGTAAAAACTAGTGTTTATAAATCTAAAATAGACTCCCACAGAGACAGATGCCAGTTTTCTCAACCTTTCATCAAGCTCACAAGAACTAGGGGTTGTTTTAAGTATGCTGCAGCAAAAATTTGGAACGACTTGCCCCCGTCTGTTGGTTAATCACTGATTCTATCCTTACCAATATTTAGGCGCAAATGTATCAAATGGTTGCTGCAAGAACAGTCCCTTGTTTC